GGGAACTGTTGATTAGCTAAGGTTCTAAATTCATGGAGCTGATGGAGTACGAAGGGAGAAGGAAGCAATTCAAATAATTGCACAGACAGGAATTCCGACTCTCTCCCATAAAGATTTACTCGACATGCTTCTGATGGCGATTACCGGCTCCGTGAAATCAATTGAAGCAACAATCAAATGCATGGGTAACATTAGGAGAACGAGTTTGACTGGTAACGCTGTGGATAAGCGATCAAATTATGGGAAAAGGAATATGAATGCTAGCTTCAAAGGAAATTTTTTGAAGAGAAACAAGGAAGTATGACTGGTGCTAGCTACTCGTTGTCAAATGAGAACGCAGTGCTTCTTGGAAAAAAGGTAAGAGCATTAACCTTTCTCCTGAGTTGTTACTGAATAATAAATTAGAATCTATGCTATCTAGGTTTATGCATGCATTGAGAATCCTTTTGAATGCTAAAAAGAGGAAAGATAGAATTGATGCATGAATAGGATAGCATTGAATATGGCATGACTAGAGTACAACTTTGTGTACGAGTTGTGGTGAGTAATTTTGATTACACGAATGCATACTCTGAAGCATATGTGTATGTATATTGAGTGGTAAATATACTAGTGGAATGGGTTGTATGCCCATATTTATTTTATAAGAAGTACTGTTTGTCAGTACTATGAGAACCATTCGTACATCTTGCACCCTAACAAGGTTCAAGAATCATTATAGCAAGTCGAACCATATCCACGCCAATTAGAATGGTACTATTCGTGGTAATCATCGACCAATCCTGTAAGAATGACGCTTTATTACTCTGCAATAGTTGCGAGAAATTAGGTCATATGACACGAAAGTGTATGAACAAGTATAACATTAGTTCTAGTGTTAACTTGACTGAAAAGAAGGATTGGTGGTTGTGATGATTGTGAAAAGAGCAGAGATTAACCTTGCTGGTAACTCTGAAAAATGGTGGCTAAATACTGGTATCTCGAAGCATACTAAGACATATGCTATTAAGAAAGTGTTGTTGAGTATTGCTCACTCCACTATTGATCATGGTCATGAGAGTATGCATATGATGATAAAGTTAAAGTGTTGAATTCTTATAATTCTTGCATGCACGTCTTTGACGTATATCTTAGAGGAATTGAATAGCTAGGGTCACATTCTCATAATGGTTGTGATAAATATGAATTCCATAGCTAAGCTAATAGACCCATAAATATGTGATTAGAGAATCATAATCTTTGATCTGACATATTAGAAATGGGTAAACGTGATGAAATGCTTATTTGGAATGGCTTGAAATGCTTTATCGCATTATTATTGATTGCTCTGATTAATTGTATGTTTATTTAATGTGATGCTTTTGAAATTCTAATGGTAGAATTAAAGAATAAGAGCAATATGATTACTAGTAGAGCATATGAATGTGTTTTAATTGGATAAGTGATAATAAAACACATAAACTTATGAAATGAAATACTCATTGGAATCCAATAATGCCAAGAGACTTCCATTTAAATTAAGAAATAGTGGGGGTAATATCCTGCAGGCTATTAGAAATAATGGATAACTTGTGGGGGCGATGAATCTGGGTATGAACTCAGAAGAGACAAATGAACCATAAATTATTGAAGGATTTTGGTTATGAATTTGTTATTTACACCCTAAGAAGAGATCCTACAAGTCTGCTAGAAGTTCGAACTTCCATACAGATGTAGATTTGTGGGAGAATCCATTATTAACGAAATGAAATTATTGGAGTCTAATAAGACTTAAAATCTTGTAGAGTTACCTCTTGGTTGAAAAGCCTTGGGTAATATATCGATAGAATCGAACAAGATTTGGCATCTTTGAGAATTACCTCTTGGCAATGAAGTCATGGGTAATAAATGGATTCTTAAAAGAAAAACTAAAACCTGATGGTTTAGTTTATGAGTATACGGATCGCTTAATAGCTAAAGATTTAAGCGAAGAGGAAAAATTGTAGATTTCATTGATATCTACTCACTAATATGTAGAGTAACATCCATGTATGATATGATTGCTCTTGCTGTGCATCAGATGGATGTTAAACCTATTTTTGTGAATGGTGATTTAGATAGAGAAATGAGAAATCTTCATGGGATAACCTAGAGGGTTGTTATTCCTGAACATGCTTATGGAGTCTATAGTTAGACAAATCATTGTAGGATTTGAAATAGACTCACAAACAGTGGCATGAACAATCGAGTTCTCTCTCATGGTTTTAAAAATGAAAGTGACAAGTGCATTTAGTACAAATTTGAGAATGACACTTGCATTATGAATGACACTTCGATCTTTGGTACAAAGACTCGTGATGTCAATATTATGAAAAACCATGTTGTTTGAGAATTATGAAGGTAAAAAGATCTGGATGAAGCAAGTGTTATGCTCGGAGATCCAGATTACTAGGACAATGAAAGAGATTTCATCTAGATCAGTTTAACTACAAAGTTAGATCTAGAGGAAATACGAGTTCTGCACCAAATACGAGTTCTACACCTGCATAAATGTTTTATGGTGCTAGTATAATTTTTTTAAGAGCACCAAAGACGGTGTAAGAAAGTAAAAAACATACTAGCGTCGACAGTCTGCGAGAGACAGCTGATAAACATGAGACCCGACATAGTGGGGGTACTTGCCAGGCTTACTGATTGTCCTAGTATGAAGCATTGAAATGCTATTGAAAGGGGTCATGAGACACCTTAAAAGAACAGAAAAACTTTGGTACTTGTTATCAAAGGTTTTGCTGTATTGGTAGGGTATAATGATGCGGATTAGAATACCCTATAGAGGACTCCAAGACAACAAGAGGATGTGTTTTAAACATCGATAGAGAAGCTATGTCTTGGAAGTCTAAGAAGTAAACGATCCTGGCTCAATCAACTAAGAAATCGGAAATGATAGAACTAGCAATGGCTAGTAAAGAGGAAAGTTGATTGGGAGGGTCACTACTAGAGATTCCCTTATGGGAAAGACCGATCCCTCCGGTAGTTGATTCATTTTTGATAGCACCGCAGCTATTACTAAAGAAGGGAACCGGTTCTAGAACGAAAAGAGACGACAAATTTGTCGTAAGCACAGTACTGTAAGAGAACTCCTAACGATAGGAGCAATGAGGGTGGATCCTATAAGGTCCTAACAGAATCTAGTTGATCCTTTGACGAAAGGATTATCTAGAGAGAAAGTCCAAAATACCACAAAGGGTATGAGACTTATGCCTACCGAACCACGGATTACAAGTGATGGTAACCCGACCCGATAGACTGGAGATCCCAAGAAACGGGTTCAATGGGTAATAACAAGTCATGAGTAATATTGAGAAAAGTTCATGCATAGTGAAGCATGAATCCCAAAGCCTTGGAGGTTGAGTTAAACTCTTAATGAGATCTATACTCTATGTGGAGTGAAGTACTTTACTTTGGGGGTACTTCTGATAGACTCACCTATGTGAATGTGGGAGTGGGGCCGCTCCCTATGTAACTTTGGAGGCAAAAAGTTGCTAGAGCGTTCACTAAACCGGGATAACGTGCATGGCCATAAACGCACGGCCTATGAGAGAATATCACTCAATGAAAAGATCCGGTGTGCTACATTGTCTGAGATAGGGTTCAAGACTACGAGTCACCCTTATGAAATCGGAAGTGTAACCACTACGCTAAGGTTCAAATCTTCGCGATACCTTAGTTTATGCCCGATCTTATGGATCTGTTGATGCTCAGAGATAGTTTCAAAACTATTCAAGTGGGGGATTGTTGGGAATGAATAGCTTTGAAAGCTATATTGAATTAATTATCCCGTATTCTTTCTAGATACGAAGATAGAAAGGATAATTAATAAAAAGAATATTATGGAGATAATTAGGATTAATTATCTTAATATAATATAATATATTTTAATTATGGAAGTAATTATCTTCCTAATTAAATTGTGGCTTATTCCCAAAGAAAGAGGGAATATTCTAGGTTTTCTGCTCCTATAAATAGCAGACCCCTAGACCCTCTAAACACACCTCAGAGAGCAGAAACACGAGATAGAGAGTGAGTTCATAGAGCTCCGGTTTTCGCACAAAACCGATGAGCAACAAATTTAGAGTGGCTGTTTTATCCTGGAGGCGACCGGCTGATAGTCTGCTGTGCGCAACGAAGGCAGTGCCGCGAACGTCTTAAAGAGAGCGACCTAGTCCGCGACTCAGCCAGATCGGTAACCCTATTTTTCTGTTCGGTTTCTAACATCACATAAGCCGTTAGTGCAAAATACAGAATTCATTTGAAATTGAGAAGTATCTGCATTTCTTATTGTATTGTATGCCTGGCGCCTGGCGGTGGCCGAGGAGGAATCTTGATTTCTTGGGTGGGGGGTTTAGATAAACATAAAATACATATGTTGTCCAGCTTTGTGAGACTGACTCGTCTGTTCCCAGCCACGAGACGAGGGGGCACAAACTCTCTCTCTCTCTCTTTTATTTTACAGAAGTTGATAGATGGAAAGGAAGGATCACAGAAAGTCATGGGCCGATAAGATAGTCTGGGCCTGCCTGTCTCGGATGGGGGCCCATCATTCATTCAAGATCAGGAGTAGGATACTGATGATAACTGTCCAACGGGACCAACCTGGGAATGGGAAGGAACCCCACTCTCAGCATCCACCATAAAAGAGACTGCTATACTACTACTACTGTGAACCAAATATTTACAAACGCACAACCACCCACCTCCACCATTAGTATTAGCATTAGCAACCACATAGAGTTGTGGCTACAAATTCCTCCAATTTTCCATGGTCCATGAAACCGTATCGTACCAGCGATTCAATCACAAAATACCATTATTGGATGCTAAACCGATCACCAGTATTTAATGGTATTACCCTATCGCTGACTTTTCCGGTACGGTGTGTCCGGAACGATTTCATGGACCATGCAATTTTCCGGTCAAATTGGATGGATCGGATCATCCACTACTTACCCAGTTGGCGGAGAAAGCTCCAAGTGCTTACCTTTATTCATGTCGCACAACATATAGTTGTAAGTTAAGAGAATAAATGAAACAATTTTCCTCTCAAAATTCTTAGCATCATGACGTGGTTCATCTGATCCAAGCACTAGTCCCATCCAGAAAGATACTTCGTCAAGAAGATTCAACCTCGAGCCAGAAGCTAAACTACGTATCATCTCTTTCCTTTACTTATGCATGTATGAAATGGGTAATAGGAACCTTACAGAGGCGTCCATTTCTAACAACAAAAACTTCAATAAACAAGAGGCGAGGGCGCACACTACCCCTCCATGCAATGGCAAACCAAATACTTGGAGGAACTAATTACACTTGGGATACGCCAAGGCAGCTGCAAACATATACTATATACATGCATATAGCTTTTCATTTTCCAGGAGCAAAAGCTCAACTACAAAACCCCAACAGAAAAGAGGGTCTGAAACGAAACATAAGCATCATATTATCACGAACATGATGATTCATCCATACCTTTAGACTCTCTCTGCAAAACTTCGATATTCTCGCACGCATCATCCAATTCATTTGCAATACCATCTCCCATTGTGCTCTGGGACAAGGAGAGGAAGCCTAATGTGGCCATATTACTAGCAATTGAATCAATGTCACTGTCCCTACTGTAGAGTCCTCGGCTGCCAACCACAAGTATTCCGGTTTTCTTACCATCGTCAGCACTGGTGGTGTAGAGATTAGGCAACACATTCATTAGTTGAGGATTAGTGCCTGTCGAACCACTGATGAGCAAGCGAAGCGTCTCCCTTGCGCCGGTTTCCAAAGCTGCTTCCGATTCGGAAGAAGTTACAAATGGTGCCATGGTACCAGTGATTGTTGTGGGACCGGCACTCACCAGGTATGCTGGACCAGACGAGCAAATGTCAACGGCTGGGATGTGAACAATTGGATCACATATCAATGGGGTGAAGGTAGGAATCTGCTGAGAAGTAGGAATAGGAAGCCGAACCAATGGGTTGGGGAACAAGGCTGGGAAATCAAGCGATGGAGCTTCCGGTAAGCCAAGATGCGGGAGTGGTGCTAACAAACTGGAGGAGGCAGACAACAAGGAAGAAAGTGGAGGAAGCAAAGGTGTCTGTATTGATGAGAAGGGAATTTCTCGAGACTCTGCTGAAGGGTATTGGGATCCACTTAGAGGACACCAGCAATAGTAAGGCGAGAGGGCGGGTGAGCTTAGAGAAGGTAGTGGCAGTGTAGAGCTTTGAAGTGATGGGTTAAAGCTCGAAAGTCCCACAGCAAGAGTTTCATTTTCAGGGGACTTGCCATTTTCAGGTCTTGAATTTGAGGAATCAATGGAAGATGGCAATCTGACTACCAGATTGTCGAGTGGTGACAAGTTGCTATCTCCACGGCGTCGTAGCTTTTCCCGTCTCAAAGAGGAGGACACGTAGCTTTTGCTTGGACCATCCTTGAAGGAACTTGACCGCGGGCTGAGGCTTCCTTGATAATGGCTGCTGCTGGACTTTGGTGGCTGGCCACTGCCAAGGTGTCTGGAACGCTGCTGGGGCGTCAATGACTGAGAACTTGTAGAAGCTGAAGAAGAGTCATCCGAGGTGAAAGAGAACGGGCCAGCAACCGTACATTCTTTGCTACTAAGGCCCATGAGATACGACCGAATGTGATTTGCGAAGCAATCGAGGCGCCAGTTGCTAATTCCAGTTAATTCTGCTATTGATGGCTTCCTCTTCAGGATATCCTTCATCTATTATTCATAAAAGCACACACAAACGTTAATTGGTAGCAGCTAGCATCATAAAAACAAAACAAGACCAGTATTTAGAAGCTTTATAAACAATGTGCATATATAGAGTCCTAAATCTACCAGCTCCACCAAATATCTGTTAACTAAAACTCTACAAGCTTAGGGATGCAGTCAAGATTGTTCTTTTGTAAGAGTCATTCCGCTGAGAATTGGTGGAACCTTCTGCATACCTTGGCAATTAATTCGATTCCCAACAGCTTTGATTTTTCAGAGCACCAATAGTAAAAATCTGCCCCGCCAGCAATTTTTATTTGGAAAGATCGGCCAGAACTGTCTGTTGGGATTTCTTCAACAACGACAGCTGCAGAATTAGATTTACCACTTAGGGTAACTAGTCTTTCAGTGCTACCATCATCCCCAATGAATGAGAGTCGCAGATAAGACGTCGGCAAGACTGCAAGACTCAAATTCCCTCTGGATAATGAAGAAAAAATGGAAGAAAGTATTAAACAGTGAAAGCACAAGAGAAAAATACAGAGCGTAAAGGGCAAGTACAATCCTAGAACGCACAGAAAAAAGCCGTGTTGGACCAATGGGACTATAAGAGACCAATAGGGTACAACTAAACGTGAAGATACAATAAGAAAAAATCAACAATCTGATATAAAAACACAACGCCACCTCTCTCCTCTTTTACTCTCACCAAGAAAAGAACAAAATAAATAATGAATTGCCAGCAGAAGGATTTTACAGAACAAATTCCAAAATCAGAACACTATTTTGTGGTTAAGGCTCAAATCCATGATTCATAGACACGAATGTCCAGAAATCAGAGATTACAATATCCAAGATGAGGTTTTCAAATTTCAACACCAGTAGGAAGAGCATATATATATAAAAATAAGCTCACCAAGAATACTGGAAGAGAGCCAAAATCATAAAAGCTCCATTTGTGTTCCGCAAAGTACTTTAGCATTATTTTGGACAGAAGAACAAAAAGCAAAATTCCATAGTAAAGTACGTGTATATAAATATGGTTGCATTTGAGACTATCCATTGAAATCGTCAACAAAATAAAACAAGTTAAACAACAAACAGAAATTACAACAAAATCAAATCACACCAGAACACACCAAAAAAAGAAAACAACCAACAATCAGAGACAGTTCTACAAGACGAATTACCACAAGAAAATCAAATTGACATCTAATTCACTCATATCGTTTTGTTAGGAATCTGCAAGCCAGGAAAAGCCATATAATTATTTAACATAGGAGATGAAACTACCTTTACTTCCTCATTATTCAGAGATCAATAACACGCCCACTTTACCTACAAGTGAAAAGATATTTTACTTGGAAGCATGAACAATTTCACCACAGATATCATAAACAGACAAATTCCTGAAATCACTACTGTTGATATAAGTTAGAATGCATAAATTTCACACTACTTCCAACAATAACATGCCTGTAAGTTGATGCAAACATTAAGGAAACCCCAAGTCAATTCTGTAAAGCATTTGTTAGAGATATATGTGACAGATAGGATTGAAGAAACAAAACAAACACAATTCTGTAGACAAACAGCACACTAAGGCAATGGGGGACATGAACAGACAGAAAGCGTCTGGGCCTCTATTTCAAAGAACACCACAAAGGTATATATTAAAATTCTCGACAAGCCATCAAAACTTGAAATCAATATTACAACGGGACACAATCGACCACCACCAACCTTACTAGGGTATCAAGTGGCTGCGGCAGTCTCTCTTATGCACAAACAATCGACAAATAGACATAGAACTGGTTCACAAATATATAAAACTCTAGCAAGAGCAGGATTCAGTCACTCAGCACATCACACAAGCGATGAACCTCAAGACTGCCAAGCGTTACAACAAGAAAATGACCATTCTTATAATCTTATTAAATTATAAACCATATAGCACATGAGAAATACGTGTCTAATGAGGACCAAATCCAAAGGCCAGGTTTCAATCGATGACCAGTATTGGAACTACTAAGAAATGCAGTAAGAAAAACCAACCCGTGTTTCGTGTTTGTAACCCAAGATATGCATATACATGAACTTACAGGTAACGGTGAAAATAATTGACATTCTCCTTAAGACCAGAACAATAATAATACGAATGGTCTAAATCCGCCGCCTGCAGATGAATATTGAAGGCATATTGGATGTAAATCACAATACGTAGTTCATCATATATGATATATACTAACAGACAATTGGATAAAGAAGCGTGCAACAAATCCCTACTATACCAGGCACTTCACAAATGGGAAAAAAGCAATAATTGGACGATCAACCAAAAAACAGAGTGAATAAGTAGAGCTAATGAGCAAACAAGAAACAACGCCAGTCTTGGCTCGTAAACTAAACTGCTGCAACAGATAACGAGAATGGCAATGGCCGAGGTTAAGATCGAGGAGACAAACAAACAGCTTAAGCGAATAATCCAAAGCATATCTAGAATCCTAAACGTCAAATTATGTCAGATACGGATACAAGCACACCCACCTAGCCTCGATCAAGAGCGCAGACATCCATGGGAATAAAATTACCTTGCAGATGTAGGGTAGAATAGGTTCCCTTGTTTGTTGATCTTCCCTACCCTGATCGAAACAAGGGGTATGCAAAAGCACCTCGCGAGCATGCCGACCTCAAAGGCGTCAAAGTGCTGTCACATAGTTATACCCAAACATCAATTCCCAATTCCAATTACACAGCAAACCACGAAACAGCATCCCCCGCAGTCAAGTTCAATCAATACTACCTGACTCAGATGCGCCAGAAGGCGATCCTCGGCAGCGCCAATTGAAGCATTCGATTTCAACAACGGTTTCAACCTCTCATCAGCGCGACAAGCGCCCATGACCTGCATATCTAGCGCTTGTAGCCACTGCAGGACCCTATCCTCCCGATCACTTCGTTGAAGCAGCAAATCCCCGTCGCCTTCGTCCACGAGAATCTCCGTCAACCGCTCGGTCAGGCCAATCTCGCTTCTCCCCGGCGAAACCGTATCAGATCCAGCTGTAGATGCCTCCACGCCGCTGGAAATGGACGATGACTCTTCAAATTCGTCCCGGTCCGAAATCTCGTCGTCGCATTCTCTACTCCTCGAATTAGACATCTTCGGCAAGAGGATAATCAAAAACCAAATCAAGATAGAACTGCGAAACCCTAGGAATCAACACAATTCTCGCGCTGTAATCCGAAGGCAAGAACAGTTCTAGACGGCGGAGATCGGAGAGGAACCCGTAGTCGGATAGGAAGAGGAGGATCAGGTTCGCACACGCCGGCGACGACGAGAAAGAGCGCAAATCCGCCAAAGGAAAGGAGGTATGGGCAGCAATTAGGGGGAGTTGAATTGGTTGTGAAAATCTGGTTATATAGAATTATAGATAGCTAGCCCCTGGTGGACACGAACGAGATTTATGAAAATTTGGTTTTTACCTAAATTTGGTTTCAAGTCCGAAGGTATCAATTTGCATAGGCTCCACGTCAGCGGGCCCAGCTGGTGGACGTGGGCCCTTCGGTGGGCCTGTTGAGCTGGGTGCTGAACGAAGCACCACGTCACGAGAAGAGCCGACTTTTACTCATGATTGGGCGGTGGACCGAACGGCCCAGTGGGGAAGGAAACGTACGCCAAGAGTCAGATCGCACCATGAAATTAACTTAACTGGGTAAAGAAATGGTAGGTAAAGAGCATTTGTATGGAGTATGGACCAATTAGGTAGTTTCCATTCTTGGGTTCCTTGGTTGGATAACCTGAATTCATCAAAAGGTTTTGAGGATTTGATGCTGCCGTAATTGCCGTTTTAAGATAGAACCTCTTGTACCGGCATCCACTCTCATTTTCACCATTTGAATTAACATAACTGCCGGATGGATGAACTTGACCGTATATAGGCAAAACAAAATCCTTTCATTTCCTTCTCTTTGAGATGATGAAATGAATGATCATCGTCATGCTACTTGTACCATTATTTTATGTGTGGTGGTGACTGTGTGATACGTAAGACGGTGAGCTTGAGGCTCGGGAGTCGGGACCGCTGAATGGGACCAACGGGGATAGACGGACCAAGGCTTTGGGCCCTACAGCGACACAAATATCTTCCTGTGGACCCTATCGACAACGAGGATTAGGGTGGCACTGAGTCACTGACTATACTTGGATTATCTGAACCATGAAGATAATGGCCAATACTACGGTGCCGCTCTAAAAACTGCGGCACCGGTGACGCTACATTTGATTGGGCCACGTGGAGCTTATGTGGCAGTCACTTAATTGATTTAAGCCAAAACCAAAACCCATGAGTATACTACTAACCATAACCAACCCGTCCCTCACTCACATTCAAACGGAGACTCCTTCTCCGTCAAACGACTCAAACCCAAACAATTCCTCTTTTTTTTTTTTTGCCAAACTATCTTTATTTTTATTAATTAAAAATGTAATTATTTTGTTACTTTGTTTAGCGGAAGATTCAGAAAACAGAGAAACAGGGGATGACGACCGACGAACCAGAAGGGAGTTCATCGATCTCCTCCGGAATCTCTCCAAAATCACTCCGGTGACTTGTTCATGGCCGATCCCATCTCTAAAACACTCCGGCGACTTGTTCGGAGGCGAAGAAATCTATATCTTCGTAGGCCTCTGACACCATCGAAAAGTGCCTCCGCCAAAAGCCAAACGAGTCCAGGTCAGAGAAGTGAGAGACGCTTCCTTCACCGGCGGTCGCTCCCAAATCATTCCAACATTAAACTTTTGCCCACTAAGCAGAAACTAATGAGAACCCTAAATGGGAATTGAACCCTACTCCTAATGTTTGATGTACGGATGCAAAATTCTCCAAATCCTATCGTGATAACGTACAATGAGATAGAACCTTGGACTGGGCAATACGACTCCATCAAGAAACGAACAAATAAAAAGATGCAGAAGAGGATCTCGGATCGAAGACCTCGATTAGGGTCAAAATGAGGGGAAGATGAGATTTCAATGACGACGGAGCAGGTGACGGATCTTAGTGGAGGTGAATCGGGTAGGCTGTTCCAGAAATTGCATCGGCGTCGGCGGTTTTCGATTTTGACACAGATGGTGCAGATACATGTTCCTTCGCCTCCGATCTGGAATCGAAGGGTAAGGTTGACCCTGGAGATGAGATCGACCAAGAACAAGTAACCCTATTGATTCTCCAGTGACCGCCGCGGTCCTCCCCTTCTCTCACTTGGCACCGTCTAGAGTGACCGCCGGAGGAGTTTGCGGAACTACCTTCGGGTTCCTTCCGCCGTCGACCTCTGTTTTCCGGAGCTTCCAAAAAATAACCTAATTAAAGTTCTATTTAATATAAAGACAAAACATTTTGGCGTTTGGGTTGGACAGAGAAGGGTCTCCGTTAGTGTGGGTGATGCGGTTTGGTTCTAGTACTCAACACTCACAGACTTTGGGGGTGGGTCAATGAAAGCCAACTTATGCCACATCACCTCCACGTGGCCCAATCATATTTAGCGTCACCGGTGCCGCAGTTTTTGGAGCGGCACCGTAGTATCGGCCGAAGATAATAGAACTCTCCAGCCCAACAAGAAAGCTCACACCCAACAAAAGTCAGCCCAAAAGAAAGTTGGGCCCGTGCAAAGGCTGGCAACAGAAAGAAAGAGTGAAAGACCACTACCAACCCTACTGGGTAGGGGAGAGAATGTGATGATGTTGTTTGCATGTCCGGGACGAGTTTCTTGGTACTCAGATTCACACCATGGCAGATCGGGTTCAGATCGGGTAATTTATCACAGGTTGCGGGTCGGGACATGTAGACCCAATGGGTATGCAATTTATATGAAAAATATTAAAATATTAGAAATATTCGTTATTTTTATTATAAGACCAAGAAAACAAACAATATTATGATAAATGTAGTTAAATTATTGGTGAAATTAAGGTTTTCACTAATTTACAACTTTATTACAGCTAAAATATGATGTAATAAAAGGAAAATCCTAAGTAATTTGACTAAAATGACATGTAATCTAGGCAAGAACGGGTCGAGAATGGGGCGGGTCAAGGTGGGTCAGGTCGATGAGTGTACCCATGCCCGCCCTGCCCTGTCTACGAGACAGGTCGGACAGCCCCAAAACAGGCCAAACAAGTCAGGTCGAAATTGCCATCCCTAGATGTTGTACCATGCAATGCAGCAATCTCGACAGCTGAATGCATGATGCGATACTACAACATCAACACTCAACGAGTGCATCCAACTCAGATCCCTGCATTGTGCAATACAACAACATCAGTACTATGCACATCACCAGAGTGGCAAAATTGGTAGAGGACCTGCAAAGCATTTGACGCAACTATAACTTTCCCAAATGCTAGTTTCTCCGGGTGCCCTTGAGCATAGATTGCAGTTCTTCCTGTTCGATAGGATGTTGTAGCTGTACAACATCTTTAATCATCAACATACAAGGGGTATTCAATCAAGGGGGGTGGGGAAATGATTCTCTAGACGGAATTGCTTGTGCCGACTGCTGAGAGTAACGATGGATTGTCTAAAAAGATAATGTAAAGTCTAATCCTTGTCCTTTGGCATTTGAAAGTTGTAGTTCTGAAGCATCATGATAACATTGGAACTAATGTACGCTTTTCACCTATGTCATCGAGCGATCAGATTTAAAAAGATCACTTGCTCTTCTTTACCTCCCCTGCATACTCGTCTAAGAGAGAGTTAACATCCTTCCAGATTAGGCCCTCCACCAGAACTCCATCCTTAGTGAACCTGCAAAACGATGGTCACATACTACATTACCAATTGTGCACTGTGTTTCATGACGATCCAAAGCTATGGCCTATGACGCTCAGTGAATAGGTGCAAAGAGCAGAGAGAGAACAGAGACATGCCATTTTGTAACACTTTTAGTCAACTCCACTGTCTTCCCAGCAGAAATTGACTTTGGATCAGCACTTGCTATAGTAAGTGTGTAGTCATCAGCGAATCTTGGTAATTTGGAAGAGATCATCAAACCGGTACTTGTATAAGATCCCTACACAAAAACAACTAGCATCAACTAGCATCAAACCGGTACTTGTATAAGATTCCTACACTTTAGGAGTAGAATTCCAAACATTCAAATCAGCAACCTACTAGGAATTATCAGTCCAGTGTGCATGTTCCACTCCACAGCAACAATGTTTAAGTTGTCTAGTCTAGACAAACGAGGACTGCATCTTTCTAATACAACACAGTTTAAAGTTCATTGTCTGGACGTCAAAGACAATAAAATTAAGTTTTTTGAAGTTAGTACTTCAAAAGACCAATAACGCTAAAGACAGATCTTTCATACTCAAAATCTCTAAGGACTCATTCCACCTAGTAAAAGGATGTTTAGCTCAAACACGAAAGATGTGAACATTGACATAATTTTCGCTATGAATCATGGATCCAACCAAGTGTATTTATCCATAAGCACTTCGGCAAACAACAAGAAGTACAATCCTATCACAGCCAATCAATCACCACTCTCAACCAATTACTATAACTAAAGTACAACTGAAGGACACAGGATACCAGAGTCCCTACGGGATCCGAAGTAACACAATACAATTGAGCAATGAGCAAATAGGTTCACTTTGTACTTCAAGGAGTACAAAACCCCTAGTTAAAACAATGATGAACTGTTCACAGAAAGGAAGTAGATGGGAGCATTAGCTCTTTCTACTTTCTATAATATTAAATTAAGGAGTCAGTCAGACCCAGAGTAGTGTGTTTACATGTATCACTAGTAGTCTTCAATGCTTCCGTTGTTCACTTGCAAAGCGCATAAGGAGAAAGATCCACAGAGAAATAAAGCTAGATGTCTTGTGTGCATCTAGTAATCCAAGGAAGACAACTAACACAAAAGCATATAGGCCAGCTAACCATTTCAAAACCATCCGATGCAATCAACCAACGGCATCTATCAACATAAGGCTCTGATTCCACACATTACTCAACACAAGTACGGATCTGTAATGACAGGAAGAACAAAGTTTACCTTAGGAGGGTAAGTGAACAAGATGGCGTTCTTTTCCTTTATGAATATGATCAGCTGCAACACCACGTTGAGGACTACATACTTGCCATAGTCAAGGATCCAACAACTTAGCCATCAACAAAATCCAGGCATTTAATTCCCAAGAGAGTTGGAACAAATACACAGGAATGATTCACAATTCTACGATATTACAAACGGAGCAAAATTTTAAGGAGATAGCAGCTAGTGAATGTTTAGATCAAAAGAAGGATATAATACGATGCAACCGATCAAAAAGTCTCTGTTCTCCGGGAATTTCTTCTTGTAAAACTGAGCAACGAGAGCAACGGCAATAATGACAGTCCCGATAAACAACCTGACATTGCTCATCCTGACATCTTCAGCATATCCACGACTGGCAACGATCTACAGAATTCTCTCCCCCAACCGAAACGAGAACAGAAGAACAATATCAAATAAGGAATTCAGTAGCAATTAAAATCCAATTGAGCGGATTATTAGGGTTTTTTCTCACCTCGGAGACGGACTCGTCGAGAATGTGCTTGATCGAGTGGTGATCTAGAAGGTTGGCCTTCTTCTGATTCTTGTTCACCGTCGGCTCCGACTTGTTCTCCATTATCGCCGCCGGTTTGTCTTTCTGAGGGTTTTTCGATTGAAGGATGGAGCAGCCTTCCAAGCGCTGTTTTTTTTTTTTTTTATTAATAAGTACTTCCAAGCTCTGATGTTACTCTTCGCCCGAATGGGAAATGGTGAATTGGTGATCAGGCATCCGGAATCCCCCTTGTTGTCAGGGATTCCATGGAAGCGACGTCGTTTAGACGGGCAAATATTTTTTAACAGACGGCCGCCATCAGTTTTGTTCCACGTGGCATTGGCTCATTGGTCAATCCTCGTCATTCAGAAATAATTTGGTGCTGTAAGAAAGAGAGGTTAAAGTTAAACATTAGTTTTTACCAACTAAATTATATATAAATAAAAATTCAAGGGTAAATACAATTTAATATCCAAACCTTTTATTTTAAACAATATAATAGCCAAACCTTTTAGAAAATAATATAATATCCAAATCGTCAACTTTTTGTCTGTTTGACCGTTATTTGACACTTCAAAAAAGTTCGAAGTACGACACTTCATCAATATCCATCGATATCTTTTCTGAAAAACCACCAACATATCGTAGTTCCAAACCCGAGAAGTCTATGACTCCACCATGATGGTATAGAATATCTAAATATTCAGTCATCTGCACTGCCAAAACAAGAAAACAAAGTTGTATTGTAACAATTTCCCCTAAACAAAGCTTTTTTCAAGTGTCAACTAACGGTCAAACGAACGGAAAGTTGACGATTTGGATATTAGATTGTTTTCGAAAAGGTTTGGCTATTATATTGTTTAAAATGAAAGGTTTGGATATTGAATTGTATTTACCCAAAGGCCAAAACTAAAACACATTATATCAAATGAGAAAATCAGTCATTAATTTGTCAGTTAAATAATTATATTGGTAACTTAACATAGCAAGAATTTCCTAAAAACACGAAAAGCATCCGGTACCATAGTGGTACTCGAGACCTGCCATGTACTACATAAACGTTTGTCGCATAGAAAACAAAAAATATATTAACGGTTGATCTCATACATGTAACCAGGAAACCGCAAGTGATGTTTTTTGTTTTTCAAACACTATTATTATAGATCCACATGCTCTAATTCCTATAGTAAATCTTTGCAATTTGCATACTACAGAACTTTTAAACCATGGCAATGAAGCTGCCTGAGCCTCACTGTAATGACAAACCAAACAATTGTAGAATACCTCTTTATTATCTAATTTCATAAGCCTAACAAATGGCAGTGTGGATTTTGAATCAGGAAAACCATATCATGAAGAGATTGCAGGGGTGGGGTGGAGCTGTTATGGATGCTTTGATTTCAGTGCTTTGCTTGCAGCACCCCCGGTGAGTACGAAACGGGCACCCTTGACGAGTTCTTCCTTCACCATGAACAACACAGCAGCAGCTAGCACGCTCTGACAGATCTTCGTGCTCATTCCTTTGTAAAACCCATATAAACCTTCGTAACGGATCATCTTCAAGATAGCGTCTAGCGTACCTAAATTAGAAGGGCGAAAAGAACAGAGATTTAATCAAGTCGGAATGTTCATTGCAGAAGGGAACAACTGCTAAAATAATATAACTCATGCAAACTTCAGAATACAACTCAAGTGATACAGAATTCTTCGAACCTTTATAGTGATGTCTTTTATCCCCTGTAGTAACTTGTTTAGCTTGAAGGCGTGACTGCAAAAAGCAAACAATTTTCGACTTAGAAGAGTTTCAAAAACGAATCTAAATCAAACATAAATGTTTCTCGATACAACGATGGATTGTGGCCTTGCAACATATTATGAAGGTTGAGCTTCGCTGCATAATTGCCATTCAGTAAATTGTTCTTTCCTGACTTCTTAATTTTCAAAACACGGATCTTACACACACAAAAAATCTTCGAACCATGGTAACAGATGAAATGTGCACCCAAGGGGCTAATTTCATTTTTACCTTAACAACAAGAAGAGGATAGGTTACGACTGTAGCTCCCAGTTTAGCCAGTGCTCCGAGAAGAAATGTCTATGAAAACCACACAGAAGCAGAGATACAATGTTACAATTCTGTCTATGCAATCCATACAGGAGTGGAGGGGAAAAGCAACTGAGAAAGAGATCAAAGCCTGAAGCTATATATGCAAAGCAAACCTCCAAAGCAGTTACTCCGGCTTCACCCTTCTTAAGCAATGAGCGTCGTTGTTTCAACTTCTTCAGCAGTGTTTCATATAACATGAATTGTATTGCGGGATTGCTTACCTGACAAACAAGAGATTGGACAATCATTGATAATCCATCCTAATCAGATTCAACAGTGGACAATCGCGTACCATGATCAGTGTTGGTAATACACCTCTCCAGAAACCTGGAATTCCAGCTTCATCAATGACTTCTTGAATCTGCAGGGATGAGAAAAACTACTAAAGCCCACAAAGAACAAAAGAACCACAGCATGTCCCAAAATTTTGATTTGAATATCAAAAGGGCTGACGATGAGCGAAATGAATGTACAAACCGCATTAAAAGTTCCAAATGGAGGAGGATCAGTTGGAACTATAAGCTTAGCTGAAGCATCTGATGAGCTACTAGGTTCTGATTTCTTTGCAGCTTTTGTGTGAGTCTGTAGAGCAGAAGTTATTCAGACTCTTGAACTAACAAGAGTAACAAAGTATAATCACTAGGTGATCAACACTTGACGCAGGGCAAAATAGAGCCGCATTTTTTTGCTCTGTCTGTAACAGGCTTCTTGTTACACATAAGTTAAGAATGCAAGTGAAGTAATAAGTTGAGACGACATCACAAAATGTCTTGAGAGATAAATCTAAGAATTAAGGCAAGATACCATACTTCAATTTCAAAAACTTTCAAATACACAACTAGACCTTCTTGTGTTTACCTGCATTCTTGTAACAACAACCCAGATTGGGGTTGTCATCAACACATTTACAGACCTGCACATTATCAATTCCATCCAAAGGATTAAATCACATATACAGCGGAGAAAATGAACTAAAGAGGAATATGGTTTTATGAATTTATCGCATAAAAATTGCAATAATACATTTGAAAAACAATACAGTGACCTGAAGTAGTTGACCAAACAAACAAAAGTATATTACCCTGCTAAAGCAGCCACCACAAGTGATGAAAGCATCCCGATGGATCCATCACCAAACCCTTTCCTCTGACGCTCAAGTGCCTTAGCCTCAGCTCTGTCCCTAAATATTTTATAGAAATAATAATAAACACCCTGTAGCATGAACGCACGCATATAAGCAATCCGGACTGTAGAAACAAAACAGCAAGTTGCTGAGTTAAATAACAAGCTTTCTGTTTGAACAGAGATTATCCAAATTTCAAATCGCTCACTCAGCAAGAATCAGTGAAAGGTTGTTACAGTCCTGGAAACCACAGCAAAATGTACCACGGTGGTCTACATTTAGACTTTCAAAACGAAGATAGACACCAGGCATGTTACCTTCTACAATGACAACAGTGCAATCCAGGTGCCATTTCAAACAATATGAACTTCTACAAATTTCTAAGCCATCAATATCAGCCACTCCAAACTCAGTCAATGCACTTTTCACAGCGCCAGCATAAAATTCAATGTAGAGATCACAACATCAGTTCACATTTATCAACTATTCGTGCCACAACCACTCATGAATCGTCTTCAATAGAACTTTGAAGCACCTTACCAACGACTGAACTGTGTAACTGAACAATACAATGACGTAAAACAGCTAGTAAGCTTGAAAAACCGAATTCATACCTGCGATGCGGCAGTCCCTGCCAATGATGGAGCTAATCCTCCATACAGCCGCTCCCATCCTTCATGCCTCACAACCTACATAATCATTGAAGCAGACCACAATCAGTCTGGGAGACTTATACATGGCGGCCATTCGCAAAACTTCTAACGAGCCTTGGTCAACAACAAATTTTTCCTTCCTATTCGAGTCAACGCATGATCCAAATCCATAATACGAAACGAAAACCAGCACGAATCCAAACCCTAAAATTCTCCAGAAATCAGATGGAAACGAATTGAACAAACTGAAGTGGATGAGAATTAAGAAGGAATCCCAACCTGGCACATTTGCTGTATGGTGCCAATAGTCTTCTTTTGTTCCTCCTCCACGCCACGCTCCGTTTGCTGCCGAGTGTTCACCTGCAGAAAGAGACATTTCACCGTCAACCAGATCAAACTCGCCAATTCCCGGCCGAATAAGGATGCTGAGCGGAATGAAGAAAAGGAGAGATCGGGGAGGCGTACAGTCTGAAGAGGATAAGTGATGAGCTGAGCGATGATCCCACCGCCGGCTCCGGCGAGGCCATTGATCAGAGCCTCAGACATGGTCGGAATTTCGCTGAACCGAACTCTTCCGATTTTGAAACCGAGGCCTTTGTATAATCTTTTTCCCCCCTCCTTTTGGGAACTTTTTTCGCCGGGAAAGGAAAGCAGAAGGACGACAGAGCACAGGGAGGAAGGAAGAAGGAGAGAAGAGGGAGGGAGGAGGAGTCCTAGAGGGAACTGAGACTGGTCTCTGACTTAGTTACCTACATCACGCATGCCGAAGTGATCGGAAGGGAAGGGGCACATTTTCTGTACTGCTAGCTGCCGAGTTTTTCTTTCTGAATTTTCTCTCTCTGTGTTTTAACTTTTAATATTATATTATTGTTATTACCCATTTGGCCCTCCGTTCCGTTGGGTTTGGTCATTGGTGTGTGTAATAAATTTTTTTTTTTTGACGGTAAAACCTGTGAAACTTTATTAATCAGTGTTGGTCATTGGTCATTGGTGTGTGTAATAAATTGAGTAGGCAGGTCGTTCAAGCAATTGCGAAATCGAGCAGAGTTTCTTTTTTTGTCATTTGTATTTTTTAATAAATTTATCTATTGATATTGCGTTTGGATCTTATCGAAAAAATGATATTGGCACGTTGGGCTGTGTGGGCCGTTGAGAAGGTCCAATTAGGACTTTACTTAATCTCACATATAAAAGCCACAAGCCTAAAGTGATAAGCATTGTGATCAAGCCCAGCCCAAAAGAGAATGGAGACCATCATCACAATTCACAATCCAAAGAGTGTAAGGTTTTGTTTTTGTATCAGACCCAAAGAGAAGTCCAACTTTTAATATCAGGTTTACTTATACGTATCATTTAATCCTTTAATTACGAATGCAAGGTTCATATTTATGGAAAAATAGGTTACTCTGAGTTCGCTACTTTACTGTCTCGTACGGCCACATATAATAGGGGATTAGTTAATAGTTATAATCACTCATAGTGATGTCCTAACAACGCAACATAAACAAAAAACAACTATTGTGAAGCAAGGTTGGAAAACAAATATACCATAAAAGCAAACAATGTTGTGACCTTGTGATAGTTCCTTTTTTTTTTTCAATTAGTTGTTAGAGCGAACATCACAACATTCACTTGTTCTTACAATCAGTGACACAATAATATTTTCTTCTTATAATTGGGTGACAAAAAAACATTAACTCGCTCCATTTGTCTTCTCGTGAAATCAGAACAAGTACATTTTTTATTATTTATGAACCATCTACTTTCTAGTATATTTCCTGTTATTTGGAATCTAGTAGAATGCTTCAAAATTCAGTTAATTCGTGATTTGAATAGCAAAACACATTAAGTATGCGCGATTGTGTTTACAAGTTTTGAAAAAACTTTCACTTTACATGAGATCAAACCATGTCAATGTTAGAGTGTGATATAAGATCCAGCAGAACCTTCTCCCAACAACTCGAGTTATTGGGATCAACTGGTTCTTGACATGGTATCAGAGCATCGGTTCTGATCTCCTTAACCCTAATAGCTGCCACAAATCACGTCTTCTTTCTTCTTTTTGTTTCCTATCTTCCCTTTCAGCCAAATCAAGACACCATCCCTCGCTATACCTCTCTTCTGCCCAGATTTCTTCTCGTCTCATCATGGCAGGAAACTCCGGCGAATCCGTGATCAATCTCAATGATCCCAACCAAATCATCACGCTGAACCCAGCGTCCCAACTTCCCACCAAGCTGTCCGGCGACAACTTCCCCACCTGGCGGGCACAACTGTTCACCCTTCTCCGTGGCCTCGATCTTCTCCGGTTTCTTGACGGCACGCATCCTGAACCAGCAGCCACTGCATCTGCTGCTGTCCGCACTCACTGGTTGTCTCCCTGTCACCTCACTGCATCTTCTCCACGACCCCCAATATTAACCGTTGTCTTTCAAGCACATGGTATGGTGGGCCTGTGCAAACTTCAAGCCCATGGGTTGGCTTTCGTTTGAGGGGGCGTGTTAGAGTGTGATATAAGATCCAGCAGAACCTTCTCCCAACAACTCGAGTTATTGGGATCAACTGGTTCTTGACAGTCAACTCAACTATCTAATAAAAAATAGATATAAAATAAATTATTTTGAGTGTTAGTTTATATTCCATCACATATACAATTCATGTGTTGTGTATAATAACAATCTCACAAAAATAATCTCTAGTTAGACTCCTTAATTCTTATAAAATGCAAGTATTTTAACAATCTAGTTTAAGAGCACTTCTATTATGCTATAAAACATTGGTGCTTTAAAGTACAACTTGAAGTTGTACCATAATGTTAAATTTATAAGTTTAGGTTGTACCATAAAGGAATTTTTACATTTATGTTATGGTACAATCTAAAATTATACTATAATGTTAAAGTTACAACTTCAAATTGTATGAAAACATATAACACAAATGCTATATAGTTTAACTATAAATCAAACAACCATTTATCCCAACACGTGGGCATCCACGATCTTAATTAAGTAATTAACATTAGCAAATTGAATAAGTTTGGGCCTTTGGCTTTGTGGGGGCGGTCGATCGCATTCACGCTTGTTTTTTACGGGGCATCTGCTCCGCCCGCCGCTGGCAACCGAAGAAGCTCCTTCCTTCCTTTGGAATTCAACTCCGAGTCTCCGACTCTCCGAGTGGTGGCGAGAAGAGATTCCCTCAACTGACATGGACGTTAGTCAACTGCGGAGGACCATAGGTCGTGGGTTGATTTCTCTTTCCTTCTTTCTTTTCTTTTTGGTGGAAGATTTTTCTTTTTTCTCATGACAGGAAGGAACACAGAGGATCATTAATAAACACAAAAGTCAACTGTCCACAAAAGCGGCGAGTTCACTGATTAGTTTCGTTGTATAGATTAGCCGTCCCTACATTAGTTTTTTGTTTTTTGGTTCAGTCCCCAAATAATTAATTAATTAATTGGCATACTTTATTTTATTAGAATTGAACCTTACTCTCTCAAACAGAGCCAAGTTGCGGTTATTTATGTTAGTTAGGCCAATTCAATTCCGTCCAAATTCAACATGAGGAAAACGGACGCCTGCCTCGGTAAAGAAAAAACCGAAATTCACCATTTAGAAATCAGCATCAGTACAAAAGCTATGTCACAAAGGTACAAAACAGAAACAGCATATTACACCTCACCGTCCGGCCCAATTTCCCCCAAACACTCTACCGGCCCAGGCCCACTCCTCTCTCTACAACAGTCGGGTCAAATATTATTAATTATTATTATATTAATCAGCTTGAAACATACTGCATGAACTCGCGGTCAGATTCAATGGCGTCCATCGTCTCCGGCGACAAAACAATCTCGAGATCGACGCTCCCGCTGCCATCCCTTCCGGGGAAAGCCGACATCTTGCCGTCGAACTTGTTCGCCTTCCCGCTCCTCACCGCCAGCGGCCGTCCCCACCCGAAGTCGTTGTCGTACATCGGGAACCGCGGCGAGCTCCCCATCGTCATCGACGCCCCGTCCAGGTTCCCCAGCGGGAAGCACCGCGGGCTCGCCTCCCACTCCGACACCACGCTCCTCACCTTCGCGTCGTCGTACGCGCTCACGTTCTCGTTCAGCCTCTCCGCCAGCCACCGCAGCTCCCGCGATGCCACGTCCCCCGCCGTCGCGTAGCTCGGGATGCTCTGGATCGCGTTCCCGAAGTACATCGGGTCCATCTTCGGGCTCACCCTGTGGCGGCAGTTCACCGCCATCCGAAACGTCGTCGTTTTCGACGGGCTCAAATTCCTCGCACGTGTCACCGCCCGCCACACGAGCGCGCAGAGCGACTGAAACGACGAGATCTCCTTCTCCTGCAGAACGACGCCGTTTGACAGCATCTTCTTTTGTTGGTTCGAGTAATAAAACGGGTCGTTGCTCTGCTTGCCCATCAGCTCCACCGGGTCGAACCCGGACCCGACCCACTTGGCGTTGTCCTTGTTAACAATCGCTTTCAGCTTGAGGACGGATTCACGAGTGAAACTGAAGATCCGCTCGCTCAGCGGCGCGGTCTCGTCGAAGGTGACACGTGGGCCACCCTCGGGGAGGCGGAGGACGGCGGAGGACATGAGGGGGCAGCCGTCGCGGGTGAAGTCGGGTAAACAGGGGATCCGCTTCACTCCGCGGGCGACCTGAGCGAACGTGTTGAAGAAATTCCAAAAAGAAGTGCCGTCGGTGACGGAGTGATTGACGGAGCAGCCGATGAAGACGGCGTCGGCGAGCTCGGTGACCTGGACGGCGAGGATGGGGCGGTGGTGGCCCTGGTAGCTGACGGTGCGGTCGTGGGAGAAGAACCCGTTGACGAAATCGGGTCCCCGGACCGACCCGAGAATCTGGGAGAGGGAAATCTGGGGGGCGGCGGCGTGGATGAAATCGGCGCCGGCGTCGTTGCAGGCGATGTAGACGTGGTGGGTGTCGGGGTCGGTGGAGAGGCGGCCGGCGAGAGGGGGGAAGAGGGAGAGGGTGTGGGCGAGGGAGGATTGGAGGAGGAGGAGGAGGGAGGCGGAAGGGAAGTCAGGGCGGGAGAAGAGGGCGCCCTTTTGGATGTAGTGGCAGGAGAGCATGGGGAGGTCGGAGGCGGAGAGCTTGAGGTCGGGCATGGTGGATTTCTGGTCGGGGACGACGGTGCATTTGGAGAGGAGAGTGACGAGTGAGGAATTGAGTGGAGCGGCAGGCATTTTTGGATATGGTGGAATTGGAATTAGATTAAATTTGTTTGTTTGGGGTTTCTCTCTCTCTAAGCTCTCTCGCTTGGGGATTTGGGGGGAAAGTAGAGAGAGAGTTGGAGGTGATGATGAGAGGTGAGGAAACTGGACAGGTGGAGAGGAGTATTTATAGGGAGAGGCGGAGAGGGAAGGTGTGGGGAAATTCGGGGTTCATGAACCTTTGCTGAGGTGGCAATTTAATGTTTTTTTCTTCCTATTTCTTTAATTCCCTGATGAAGTCATGGGAGGGGTATTTGTTTATGTATTTATTTGCTTACCATTTTGATAGTTTACTAGCACTGTTCAATATTTAATAAGGCTAGGGTGGGCGTTTGTCATGTATTATTTTTAATTTTATTACTTATATCTAGTTACAGCATGGGCTTTGTATTTTCTGTGGATATTGTTTAAATTTCTTTTCCACTTGTTGAGTTTTCAATTACAATATTCAGATGGTATAATAATGGTTCCCTTCTGGCAGCTGCTGGGGTAAAAGAAAACGGGTGATTTTCCTTTCTGAGCTTGGGGATTTGTGGTGTCTGGTACAGTGCAGTACATATATAGGACTTACCAGAACGAGGGGCACTGCAAACACTGGAAGTCTGGAGCAATGACTAATAATTAAACTGCCATTCTTCTTTCCAAGACGAGGTCTTATAAAGTCCTGAGTCCTCCT